GGGAACGGCCATCGGTTGCTGTTTGGTTTGGGATGTCGGCTGCGGATTAGGCCAGCATCAATTAGAGATGACTGGGAAGAATGGTGTGGGCGTTGGTCGCATTTGGCGTTTGCTGCAGCGGGGTGCAGCTGTGTCTCAGGACGTGCGTGTTGCGACTGTCGAAGCTGAGGCTATGTCTCAACAGAGGTGCGTACGACTCGGTGACCACAGGAATCCCGCAGAATTGGTGCCCTGAAGAACAGTAGGGGGTTCTACCCGGGGCGTCGATGTTTGAATAGCATTGATTTAATGGCGGGTATGGCAAAGCATGAATGGAAGAACGGTGCTGGCGAGGATGGTGTGAAACGCCACATACCTTTGACGAGCCGTAGCGTAGCGTCTGGAACAAATGCCGTAGAGGCGTCGGCCAACGGTGAAGAGCATCAATAGCAAGCTGGGACGATCGATGCTTGTGTGGGGGACCCAACATTGGTTGCTGCTGGGAATACCAGCTGCGGTCTATTTAAGAATTACTGCTGGGGTGAAAGATTGGAGTTACTGTGGGCAGACGTGACTTGCGCTGCATCGGGCGGCTGGTGCGTTGCAGGAGGTGCGTGTGGGGAGTTGCGAATCGAGGCCTGCATGCGCGCAAGCTTGTTTAGGGTTCGCCTGAAGATGGAGATCTGCTCGTTGATTTGGCTGTGATGGCACTCGGCAACATGCTGAGTGCTTGTCCGTTCAGTCGCGCAGAGCGCATCTGCTTCGAAAGGTAGAGGGCGCCTGCAGGATTGGCTAATTCCGAAGAGCACTGTTAGTGGCAGATGTGGTGCACCACTAGCGGATGAACGCGATGACGTCAATGGTTCAGAAGGCTGCGAACGTTTGGCGAGTCCTATTGTGCCTTCCGTAACAAACGCTGTAGAGGCTTCGGTCAACGCTGAAGAATATCAGGTGAATACTGGTATGATATGTGGTTGTGTGGGAAAGGACATCGGTTGCTGTTTGGTTTGGGATGCCGGCTGCGGATTAGGTCAGTATCAATTAGAGATGACTGGGAAGAATGGTGTGGGCGTTGGTCGCATTTGGGGTTTGCTGCGGCGAGGGGCTGCTGTGTCGCAGGAAGTGCGTGTTGCGACGGTCGAAGCTGGGGCTGTATCTTAACAGATGCGCGTATTGTGCATCTGCAGAGGACAGATCGTTCGACGGTTCGGCTACGATGACGCTGGGCGCTCGGTGGCCACACGAATCCCGCATCGCGCCTGTGTTCAGGAACAGTAGAGGGTGCAAGGAGGAGCGTTGTTTTTTGGAGAGTATTGTTCGTGCTGGGTGTGGTGAAGCGTGAGTGGAAGGACGATGCCAGCGACAGTGGCTTGCAATGCTTCCTATTATTAAATGGCCATCGTCTTGCCTGCCTGCAGGGGCTGCAGGGGGTTGGTGTCGACGACGAGGAGCATAGTGCGTGCACTGGGAGGTTAGATGCGTCTGTGGGACCGAATGTTGGTTGCCCTTATGGATGCGGCTGTGGAGTATGTCAACAGCGACTATCACAGGACAGATATCTGGACTGTTAGGTTAGTAGTTGGGTTGGCGATGTTTCAAGTTCCCAGCGACTCGAATCCCGCAGAGTCTCTGCGCTGTGAAGCAATGGGAGGGGCAAATTGAACGTCGAGTTTCGAAGGACATTTTTTATGCTGGCTGTGGTGACGCCTGGGTGGATTAAGGAGGGCAACAACAAATTCCAGGTATGCGGTGCCACATAAGCACAGACAGTTATCGTCTACTCTCTGCAGCAAATCGCGTAGAGGCAAAGGACGCTGACGAGGAATATAAACTCTACTTTGGCAGCTTAGTGGTTTGCTCAGGAGCGGACATTGGTTGTTCTCAGCAGTGCCAGTTGCGGAGTTGCACAGCAGCGATTGTCACTGGCTTGAATGCCTGTAGTCGCAGTCGTTAGCATATGGCGTCTGCTGCGACAAATGGCTGGAACGTCGCAGAGAGTGCGTGTTGTGGCTTGCGAATATGAGGCAGCATGTGCATAAACCGGCTTAGAGTGCGGTTGCAGATGACGGTTGGCACGACTGTTTGCTAATGATGGGGGCTGGCAGCTTGTTCACTGCCTTGATGCACGAATCCCACCCAGTTCCTGGTAGCCGGTGCCAACAGGAGCGTTGGCTTTCGAAGGGCATTGCTAACGGCAGTGTAGTGAAGCATGAGTGGAAGAGCGATGGCGGCAACAATGGTTTGAAGGGCTGCGTTTGGAGAGCCATCCTGTAACTTCTTCAGCAAGCAGCATAGACGCTTCAACCAACGATGAAGAACAGCAAGCGTACGTTCGGCGGGCGCATGCCCCTGTGTTATCAGACATTGGCTGCAGTTGGGATCGCCGGCTGTGCGTTAGTCAACAACGATTATTGCCGGCATGGATGATTGGAGCCGCAAGAGGCGAGATTTGGAAATTCTGCAACAGTTGGCTTCTATTGTAGAGCGTAGGTGTGGGGACTTGCGAAGCTAGGGTTACATCCGCACCATTTTGTTCAGAATCCGGCTGCCGGGGGAGGCTTGTTTGACAATTGGATTATGGTTGGTTCGCCTGCGCGTTTACACAAACCTCACGCAAAACCGGTGCTCAGGAGTGATAGAAGCGGTCATGGCGG